TGGTGGCTTAAAAAAATTCAAAATTTAGTGGAATTGAAAAATTGTCATTTTTCAACTGTCGTAGCATTTTTGCTACGGTTATTCGAAAGTTCCTATGCTTTATTTAAATTGCAAATGTGCTGAAAAATTAAATTCTAAGTGTAATAATTTATTTTTAAATCATGTATACTCCTTGTTTGAATTTGTCCTAGAAAAGTTATAATTTCGTGATGCAGTAAATTCTCGTTACAATGAATCAGTTGGGAACTGAAAAAAAGGCTTCGTTGTAAGCGTCTAACGACATCTCAATTGTCTAACGATTCAAACGACATTATGGCTATTGGGCGGGGACCTGAGGACCGAATTCGTTGTAAGCAATAATTTGTTATCGGAAGAGTCGTAGTATCTAAACTATCTATATTCTACTGAATTTCAAGCGGTGTATGTTTTTTTCATATTCCACATAAGCTATCGTTCGTGAGGTAATTCTGCGTCTGGATGGATCCCAAGTTTTCTCTAAAACCTGGGTATTCAGTCTTCACTGTAATCGAAATAATGAAAGAAAAGTTTTTTCTTTTTTGTCTTCTGTTTTCGAATGTGCTGGAAATTAAATCAAATATTTAATTTCCCATTTAGTGCGAGTTTTGGCATTGAAACTTTAAACTGCCATGAAATTAGATTCGGTTCGAGCATCTATACGACGATCTTGTCTGCAACGATTTTCTCTTGTAACAATTTTTTTCTGTAACAAGTTCAATTTGTCCGGCATTTTAGAAAACGTTGAATAATGAGTAAGTAATAAGAACAAAACATAATTAAATAACCCAATTTTAATAACATGTTGATTTGTTCGAAAAGGAAAAATGTCTGAATAACATGTTTGAATGGATTTTGCGCAGGTCCCCGAAGTGACCAGGAAGAGCGACACCTATCCGGATCCCGTGATATTCACGTCGCCGCCGCCGCCGATCCCTCCTAAGTATCCGACCGCCAACGGGGACTCGTGGAATTTCGATACGCCGCCTCCTGCGTGGAACTTTCCGCCGCCGAATGTGCCTCCAGGTAAGAAGTCTTAATCTATCATTGAAGCAACAAAATTGTTTTTCTTCTACTGCATTTAGGATTCAATTAATGTCAGGAAATATCGTTGCGACGTAACGATTAATACCGAACCGAAAAAATCTTCTTTGTATCGAGACTCGCAAAAAAATTGTGTTATATTGTACAGTCCTTGAAAAAATCTTGGCAGGAATTCGTTGTAAGGTAGGAAGGTTCGGAATAATGTTCTGCTGTACTAAGTATCCCGGAACAAGTCTATGAACTATTCTCTCGTCCCTTATTGGAAGCAAAAGAATTATCAGATGTTGCACCAAAAGAGTTCCTATGATCCTAATTAAAAATCGTTGAATACTGTACTTCGGGTCTTCGAGAAACTGGTTTTGTTCTTCCAACCGTTTTGGGCAATTTGTTTTTCAACGGAAGAAAACTGCTTTTAGTACTTTACTTAACTGCTTACTCCCTCGGCTTTTCGCTGATGCGATTGATGGAAAAAGCTGAATGCAGTCTTTTAAGAGATGTAATCCTAATGAAGATTTTGTGAGGGATTAAAATGTCAGCTCTCTTTAATTAAACGCATTGCCTTTCTCTCTGGTTTTTAACACTCGAACAGATGTCGCTTGAATCACTCAACCCGATAACGAACTGGTATTTTGTCGTCGATCACTAGTCATTGTGTGGGCGAAATGATGTCAGATCGCATGTATCTAAATTTAGAGGAAATCTCACTATTTTTAAATTTTAAGTAAGATATACTCGAAACGGGATCTAAGAATCCAAATTACACTATTTGGAGAAGGATGAGAAAATCAAGTTGAGATTTTTTTTTCCGCATTATTTCTCAGGTTTAATGCTTCAATATTTAGAAATGAAACGCGGTTCGTAAGTTGTACTGTACCCGTATTATATATTTTTTTATTTTTCCGTCACGTTAGTTCTGAGCAGGGCAACAGAAGACGTCGAAACCAATCATTGGAAGGATGAATCGTCTGGAAAGCTGTGGAGCAATGGGAAAACTGGTTGGGATTCGCAATTGTCTATCCAGGTTGGTGTCTTCCTTCTTAAACAAACACCTCGGGAACAAATCAAAAGGATTTACAAACTACTTAACGTACTTAAGACGACTCTTTTACGCTCCCACGGTCTTACACAAGAAGGAGCACGCTATAAAAAAATTTTATAAATACAGTATGTATACTTTAAATCTTGTCCTAAGGATGTCATTTTTTTTCTTATTTCGAAGTACCAAAGATGACCCGAAGAGAAAATAAATTCCCTTATTTCATGTGGCTGTTTTACTATCGGAATTTGTAAATTTCATGATTGTATTCATAACTCATCTAAATGCAGTCCCACACCCTTACTTAGTTTCAGATAACGGACTCCGTGGTGGAGAAATTAAGGGGGCGAGGGAGTAAAGCGTCCTCCTTGGGGGCTGTACCAAGCTGCTTTGCTATGGGAACGGACTTCTTTTGCCGCTGGGTTCAGACCTCTTGTTGCCGGGCTTTGGCGCCATGGACCCCGGGGACGACGACGACGCCGCCGCAGCCGCCGTCGACCACGAAAACGGCGACGACATTTACGCGGACTTGGAATTCAGCTCCGCGCCCGACCAAACGACCTTCAATGCTGGCAACCTCATCTCACTCACGGCATCTTCTTCTTCCTCGTCTTGTTCGCCGTCGATGACGCGTGACAGGCATTCGAAGGCGATGTCGTCGTCGTCGTTTTTGATGTTGCCCGTCGTCGGGGGCGGTGATGCCGGGGTTGGGAAGTTTTCTGTGCCGCCGCCGGGACTTCCGCCAGTGTTCTCTGCTCTACCGCCGCCACCTCCACCGCCGACTCCGCGGTTTGATGCCGTCAGGAACAATCCCCAGCACTGGCAACAGAGTTATTGGCAGTAGTTTTTTTTTTTTTCTCAGAAGACGGATGAATTCTTGTTGTTAATTTTTTTGTTTTTTATTTCTCGTCGTTGATTTCTTCATACCTGAACGTTGATTATTTTGCTTTTTTTTCTGAAAAATTTTTTTTTGTTGTTGCGGATTTCCTGGATTCCTACAGGGTGTATCGAAAAAAGTTGACCGATTTCCTAACTGTCATCCCCTAATCGGTTGGAGAAAAGTCGGAAAAAACTGGAATTGAAATTAATTTCAAATTTGGAATAATTTATTCGATAGATTGAGAAACAAATGTATTCTGTACTGACTTGAAGAAGTATTGCTGAAGCTAGCCTGGATGTTCAGATTTTGAAAGAAAAAATGGTACAAAATGTACATCAATTTGAGGAAAATCGTGACTCAAGCTTGGATGCCATTAGTTTACAGGTCGCTTTATTTTCTCCCGGTTGATCGAAATTTGGACAGTTCATGTCTGTTAATTCTGATTGAATGCGCTCTACTGTATTGTATTGCGGTTTATGTGCGATTTTCTGGCTCCTGCCTTTACACTTTTATGACTTTCTCGGCATTTTGTTCAAGAACCGTTTGTATGGGAGTTGCAACGTTATGAACCCAATATTTATCTAAATTCTGTCAGTTTTTCTGATTCTCGAAAGGCATTATAATCAGCCTTGAATGAAATTGATTCGTATGTTCTGAGTTCTGGAGGCAGAGTATTTTTTTTCTGAAGCTTGGTCTACTTTTAAGATACACCCTGCACAAAAGAAAATCCAGGTTTTTTTTTTTTTTTTGCTTGTTCTGAAGGGTTATTAGGTGGATTCGATTGATGATTTTGAACACGTTTTTGCTGGTGTTCTGATGCACACTGGATTCTAGACCATCTCAGGAAGCATCTTTTTTTTAGGGTGTAGTAAAACTTTTTCAAGTTCGTATGAAAATCACGAAATTCTCAAGAATGATTATTGCGAAAGGGGAAGGAACTTTTGTTTTTCCACATGCACCCGAAGGAAATATTTCTTCTGAGTTCGTGAATTTTTCCGTAATTTTCATGTGCTTGTTTTTTCGTATTTTTAATTTTCACACACTCGCGTAATTTCTCGAGAAAGAATCTTGTTCTCTGTCGAGAGTTGAGGTAGTTTTGGCGGAGAGCAAGTACAAACAAAAAAAGGAGTGAGGGTTTGTTTAGATTCCCTGAGGATGGTTTTGAGTTGTGTTTTTTTTCTTTCCGAATGCCACCAGGGTTTGATTCAAGGTTGGGCTAGGTTTTACTCGAAAATTTCTGCATCATACCTTAAAAGCGTAGAATTCAATTAACTTTTTTCTTTTTGAGTCGAAATGGTGATTTTTCCGTTTCCTAGACCATGTTTTTAACCTCCTGAATTAAAGCGCTGAATAAATTCATTTCTCGTCGCATTATTTGTGAAATTGGGGAATATTTTTCAGACCTGGATTTTAAAATATGTGAGAATATTTTTTCCGAAGCTTCCTGAAGTTCTCGGATTTGTGAACTTGAATTAATTTAATCGTTGACTGTAACTTTTTGAAATGTCAACTGAAAACAATGTCTTCGTTGAGATTTTCATTTGTACTTTGATTTTCAGAACACCATATTGGAAGAATAATTTGGTTTTGTTTAAAATCAGAATGTAGGTAAATTTTTAAATTTAAACCAAAAAATCGTCATTAAATGTTTTGAGAAGTTCCTGGAAACTTTGATCCGAAGTATATCTTTTGCCTTGTTTGGCAAATCAAGGCTGTTGATTATTTTATTTTTCTAAATGCGGAACATTTTCATGTACATGTATTTTCTTTTCAAGAAAGAATGGCTTATCAATTTTTCAGCGAACAATTTCAGTTCGTTGAATTTTCTTGTTGACAAACTTCGCCCAACCTTGGTTCAAGCATAAATTGATAAGAAAATTTGCGCGTGTTTTTTGAGGAATGGCATTATTTTACCTGAGGTTTGTTGACCCGGATTTCTCTCGGATGATATCGATTGATCCTCCTGGAAACTGCGTTTGTTATGCCCTAATTACTCTTTAAATTTTGAAATTTGGCTGTGAATTAAATTTTTTCTTGCGTGTTTCGTTTCAGGAGCTTGTGGAGAGAAGTGATACTGTTTGTAAAATTGTGTTTGCGGATTGAAATATTAAAATGGCAGGCGGTTCGCATCTCGTCGTTTTCGGTGGCACAGGAATGACCGGGCTTTGCGTCTTGCGCTCGGCATTAAAATCCGGTTAGTTGATGCATCTTTTCTTTCTTTATTCCTGTCTTTTTACTGCAGTGTTCGTTTCGCGTGTTTGTTTCGTGTTGCAAAAAAAAAATGGTGCCGAAATTGCTTTTTGCGAATCATTCTCGAGTTTTGGCGGGCTTTGTTTCGCGGACTTTGTCGACGAGGCAGTTGGAGGTGAACGTATTGCCGCCGGATGAACGTGGAGTCGGTGTGTTGGAGTTGAACAGGGCGAAAGCCAGGAATGCCCTGAGTCGGGCGATGATTGAAAAGTATTGTGTTGATGTTTTATTTTGTTTCTTTGTTTTTATGAGTTTGGAAAGGAGTGACATTTTTCTAGAGCGCACTTTGTTCTCCTGAATAACAATCGGTCATGGGAAAACTAAAATTCGACGTACTGCATTTGAAAGGAATCTTTTGAATACTGTACTATTTTTCCCTCAGTATTGCTGAATAATCGCTTTGGATGTCAATTAGTGAGCTCGAGAACTGGCTTAAGATCAGATAATTTTATTTGCAAATGAAAATATTTTTTACTTTGAGTCATTTTGTCGATCTCACGATTGATTATAGGACTGTGAATCTGAAATTTGTGTAATCGATGAACTTAATTTCGAGCCACTTTATTTATTGTCAATCGTTTTATCGTACAGTATTATGAAGTGTGTATGCTTAAAATATTCGTTTAATGTACCTGCTGTACTTCCATTTTGCAATGGATCTAGTGAATTTAACTGTGTCAAAATTTTAAAAAATAGTGTTGCACTACTTTCCGAACTGATGAAAGAAAGAAAAAAAAAAGAAACATCCCCTCATTCCTCTCCAGCCTGGAATCCGCCTTGGAGTCCCTGGCAGAAGACACCAACACCCGAGTGCTAGTGCTCAAAAGCGGCGTGCCGGGTGTGTTTTGCGCCGGCGCCGACCTCAAGGAGCGCCTCACCATGCCGGAATCCCAAGTGGCGCCGTTTGTGTCCCGTCTCCGCGCGTTGATGTCTCGCCTGGCGTCTCTCCCGATGCCGACGATTGCAGCTGTGGACGGCCTGGCCGTCGGTGGTGGGCTGGAAATGGCCCTGGCCTGCGACCTTCGCGTCCTGTCCTCGGACGCCACTCTGGGACTCGTGGAGACCAAGCTCGGGATCATCCCTGGTGCCGGTGGTACCCAGCGGCTGCCGAGGATCGTTGGGGCAGCCAAGGCGAAAGAACTCGTTCTCACTGGTCGACTAGTGACGCCGAGTGAAGCCTTGAATATAGGATTAGTGAATGAGGTCGTGGAGCAGATAGAGTCGCGGAATGCGGCATTTTTGCGTGCCAAAGGTCTGGCTGATGTGATGGCGAGTAATGGACCGATTGCGTTGCGAATGGCGAAAAAGGCCATTGACGAAGGATCCGAATTGACGATGAGTGAAGCCATGAGGGTTGAAGAAGCGTGTTACGCTGGAGTGGTGCCTACTAAGGACAGGATTGAAGGACTGGCTGCTTTCCAGGAGAAGAGAAAACCCGTTTTCAAGGGACACTGATTTTGTTTCCGATTGCCAGCCATTGATAATTTGTGTGTGGGATTTCGTTGTTGTTTTTGTTTGGTCGGGACTTTTCGAGAGAATCTGTTGAACCGGTGTTGAAAACTTGCTTGCTTTGATCATCTATTTACTTGTCTGCTCTGGTGCTGTTCCTGAATGTGACCGCCTGTTTCTCAAGGTGCTTTTTGAGAATTTGATGGTTTCATTAGTCTTGCGAATTGCTGAAAAATGGTTACAATTGATTAGATGATATGGTTGTATAATATTTGTGATGTAGCATAATGCGCGCTACTTTTTTCCGAAATTGAAAGAGGAGAAAGAATTTGAGATTCTGTGAAGTTCAGGTGCGTCCCATACTTTCAACTTTGGAAAATGTTGGGCCTATTTAAAACGAAATTACAGTACTGTATTTGGGGACCTGAATTCAAGGTGAAATCAAGTGAATTATGTTTATTACAAGTCAATATTCGGATTTTGATGGTTTTATAAACATGTTAATTACTCGGTTATAAAAATGGAAGGTGTGTGTTTTACTTGGGGATAGGTTTTTATCCTAATTTCTCGCTGAGTTTGAAGGGTGTGTCTCACTTTAGGACACTTGATGCTTGAGTGAATACAGTACATGAGTACAGTATTAAAATTTAAAAATCGATTTTCTACAACGTGTTCATTTCTAAAAATAAAATCATCCCTTTCTGCAAAGAAGAGCATTGAGAAATGAATGGGATATGCTAATGAGTTTTTTTTTCTTGTAGAAATTCATGAGTTGAAGGGAGCATCTGATATTTTTTTTTAAATTTGTTAATGGTCTTGTTTTAACAGTGAAAAATAAAAATAAAATGCTAATGGCAAAGCATCTTGAAATCATTCTGCCGAATTGCCCAAGAAATTTTAGAATTTCAATTTGAAATTTGTAGGTGACTTGCAGGACTTCTGAGGAACCCATTTATCCTGATGAATTTAGGATCACTTCAAAATTGAAAATTATTTTTTATGCATTTGGTCAAAAGTGGTCACTTGTGGATCAGTGCCAATCCCGAGTTTTTTGTGTTCGTTTTTTTTTTT